GAGCGTCAAAATGCACAGCAAACAATTTCAGCAAATGTCAAGTGGAGGAGAACGTGCCAGCCCATGGAGACGAGAGGCGAGCAGTCGCTCGACTCCGCAGATACACAAAGAGAAAAACACAAGTCAGATAGACAATGATAAGACTGCAGTCGGACGGTTCAATGTTTGCCGAAATCTTGAGATATTTATGGCTACGCAGGGCTAAATAGAGCCGTAAATGGAATGCGTAACCAAAAATCTTTGACGTAAGACCTGAAAGAGATTTATTCGCTTGAGTCATTTGTACGATCTTTGACGTAAGCACTGGAAATAAATTCACTTTCCTGACTTTGCTCTGCTAGTAAATATTAATTTTAGTCCATTTAATTTCTTGTCTCTGCTCTGCAAGTAAATATTTATATTAGTTTAAGAATTTAAGAATTTCTTAATTTATTTATTTTATGCTCATTCCTTACAGTGTATTTGTTACCGCTTTTCAACTTATATTGACTTTTTAATAACTCACATTTTTTCTAGATTTTTTCTAATCTTCAAATAATCCTCTTATAAATTATAACAACTCATAATTTAAAGCTAATAATACGTAATGCAATTATAATTATTATTTTAGTGTCTAATCAGCATATGAATGGAATTTTTATTTTATTTTTTTGTTCATACTTAAATCAACAGCCGGATTTATGTTAAAATTAAACTCAAGTTCAGACTTGGAGTTTTGTGCTGCGTTTCAAGAGTGTTAAATATTATTTATTGTCGAAAAATGTAAATGGTTCTAAAAGTAAAAATTGTATCATATTAGAAATGAGGGAGATTTTGAAAAATATGAGATGACAAAGCCTGCTCAAAAGAGCGAGCAGTGCAGCCAAGCTGAAAGTAGAGTAAACTTAAGTAGAGAATAATTTTTAAAATATAAGCATAAAATGTCAGTTTTGAGAGGATTACAATAATAGACTATAGTTACACAGTTACAGTTACAGAAATTTATATATTTATAAAATATTAGTATATTTAATAGAATAAATTGCTTACATTTTTAAAGTATTTTTTTAAATGTGTGCATAAAATTGCTTTAAGTTTTCTAAATTATATACATATTTATTCAAGTGGAACGACTAAAATTGTTTAATTATTCGTAGAAAAAAAATTGTTGATGGGGTTTTATGGACTTTTAATTACAAAAAAAAAAAATTATTTTAATAATTTTAATTTATTAAAATTAAATTAAAATTATTAAAATATATTTCAAGTATTTTAAAATTGTATTACATGTTTATAGAATACTCCCATTCCATAAATTCTCTTAAAAGTAGGTATTTCACTAATGTTATGAAAGAGCAAAGTGTTCTTTCTGAGTCACAATATGTGCAATTTTCCATCTAGAGCAAACCACTTGCTCCATATTAACTTCAATATTTATGCAATGCAATTGGAATAATGGCTGTAAAAGCAAATTCACTGACTCATTCACTATGGCTATAAAATAAATGAGCTGGCCTATCGCAAATATTTCTACTCACGTGTCGAGCCGTTGCAGAGCAGGAGCAGCAGCTGTTGGCAGTATTAAAATGAATTCATATCGATCGGGAGCACCCTATATGTGCATTTGTTTGAATTATTTGGTTTGTCGCCTCTGTCACAGAGGCAACAAAACTGAACATTTTTGCATACGGAAATAACAGCAATTGTGTGGCTATAACATTGCAGTGACAGCTGCAGCAACAACAAAGTTGTCCAATTGGCATTGGTCGCATTTTGGGAAGTTTTTTTTTTTTAAGTCTCTTTTTTGGTTGATGACTCGGTTTTGGTGTTCGATTTACAACTTTACTTAAATTTTTGTGGCTTGGTCATCAACTCGTTTGGGCCACGATGCTTCGTAGCTGCTCTTCAAGTGAAATTCATATAATTTTATGGGTTCGCCTTGACTGCCAGCCGAACTCAAAGTAGGGTATGTTCTCTCTCTCTCCCTCTTCCTCTCCCTCTCTGTGTGTGTGGCCTACATATGCTTTATTCATCTTTGCATCTTCTGCAATTTAAGTGCAAAACTTTAACTTTCTTTGGCTTTAAGAAGGGCCAGCGCAGAAATCCGCACAAATTAGATAAACATGTAAATGTTTATTGACACAAAAAGGACACCGACTGAAGACTAACGACTCACGAGTGACGAGTGACGACAAACGACTGAGGCCAGGGGGCATTAAATCTGAATGTGTAATATGCGTATGAATAATAAGGTAGACAAACAGGCACACAAAAAGGGACACAACTGGCAATACAAATTGACATTTTGTTTGCCTTTCACCTGATGACAGACGCCAGACGACAGCCAGTCCAGAGAGAGAGAAAGAGAGAGAGAGAGAGAGCAGGCGAATGATAACCGCTGGGGTTTGCGGTTCAGACATTGGCATTACGGATCCGAGTCGGGGACCCCAAATCGCATAATGTTGTAATTGAGTGTTGAGGAAATTCTGTTGGCAGCACGTCTCTAAAGCGATGCGGAGCACATAAATATCTTCTTGGTGGGCTTAGCGTGTTACAGATACGATAACAGCTTTAAGCCGCGCAGCCAACGCAGATACGATTCGCATCTTTAAGGACTGGGCTGGCTTCAATTTTGGCCAAGACCCAGCATTGAGCAAAGCATTACAAGTTCGCTCGCTTTACTTTCAAAATGTGAATGCACTTTTATTACAGTTGTTGTTGCTGTTGTTGTTGCTGTTGCTGTTGTTGGTGTCTTATACGTGACGAGTTTTTTGTTTTTTTCGTCGGGCATTGCTCTACTTTTTCTTCAAGCAGCAGCAGCAGCAGGAAGATGAAATTATTTTTGGATTTGTTGCCTTTTTCGTATGCCCGTTAAATTTTTGTCTTTCGGTTGAAAGTTGAGAGTTTTCTCGTTTATTTATGAAGCTTACAGTTGGGCTGCCGCCTCGGCAGGTGAATGTGGGACGGAAACTGTAGCTGAAATGAGATTTGTTGGCTTAGGCTGATTTTACGCAAATGAAATATATGATACTAAACAAATTGGGTCACTTAAAGTACAATTTGTATTTAATTTAATGTGTCACAAAAAAAAAAAGGGAAGCACACTTATATGATACTCTGTTTAAATATAATTTTTATTTTGAGGGTTTTTTATGGTAAATTAAACGCGCAAATATTCGCAGTGGCAAATGAAATTTGTGCCTAAACTAGCTGAAAGCGAAATTTGCGGGTGTCGAAAAAAAAAGTGCGCATTATAAGTATTCGGGGCCAATCAGCGAGGCGAGTCACGTGCGCTGAGGGTCAGTCGGGGAGGCTAAGCTCAGCTAAGGAATTCGATTTACATGACAGCAGCAACTGAAACAGCAGCAGCAATGGCAGCAACAAATGTCACAGTCTATTAATAGTAAATAAGGCAGCTGTTTCCCATCCATAAGGTAATTACAAGCAACAACAAAAAATTAATTACGTGTGAGGTCGATGGGCATTGCGTGCCTTTGATTTGGGCTCTGTTATAACCCTTTTTGCTTCAATCAATCGCCAGCGGCTGTCAAATTAGCCGGCGAAAACATAAATAATATAAGCACTATATTTGAGGCTGTTTCATTGATTGTGGCCGCCCCTCCCCCAAGTCCATTTGATGAAGTTGATGTGTGGCATATTAAGTATACGCAGCGGGTGGACTAAGCCTGGCTGAGTCGAACTTTGGCCGCCATTTAAATATGCAATTAAATTCTATGCCACTTAACTATGCCCATTTACAATTACCCAACAACTCGAGCTCGATGCGCCCTTTGGGGCAATCGCAACATACAATTAACATGGCATAGAGATCATGTAATGCCAAGTCTGGCCGCAAGATCGTGCTAAAAATAACGAAGAACGCATTATAAATGCCATGTTAACTCTGACGATGGGCAGCAGCAGCAGCCGCAACAGCAACAGCAGCACTTAAAGGTAATTTGCCCCATTATGGCGCAAGGGCCAGCAAATTGCGCATCTAACAAGTTAAGAATAGAATAGGAAAGCGATATGCACTATAAATAGTTAAGAGCACATCCAAATGCAGCCAGAGACAGAGCAGGAGCAGGAGCCAGCATCCATGCACTGATGGCCCATAAACGATGAGGAGCAGAAATGCTGCTGCTGCTGCTGCTGCTGCTGCTGCTGCTGCTGATTGACATAAAGAGCAAGTGGAGTCATAAAAGAAGTTGCTGCCAGCAGATGAATCAACATTCCAAGCGGTCAACGTACCACGTACCAAAGCAGTCAGGATGATGATGATGTTGCCGCCGCAGCACCAACAGCAGCAGCAGCAGCAGCAGCAGCAGCAGCAGCCATAAAGACAAAGACAGTGGGCAATGAATGCATTGAAAGCGGCTGCTTAACCCAACCAAAAACTCAAACAGAACAGGCCAAGGCGCAAGGCACAAGATGCCAGAACGTAACATTAAAATAAACGCGCGCAGATAAATCTTCAGGTTCTTCTGCTTGGCTCGTCTCTCCTCTCCCACCGCTCGCCGCTCCTCACTCGGCCAGCAGCCTCTGCAGGAGGAAGCTGCCTGTCCAAGTTCAGCGAGAATGCAATCAAACGTGTGCACTGTAAAAAATTTATGTGTATAAACTTATTTGGCTCGAATTCGTTTTATCGAGGCTAAATTTAATGATATATAAATAGTTGACAAATTTTAAAATGAGAGTTGATTAGATTTATTTAACTTTTTTTTGTACAAAAAACGGTGCTATATATGCAGTTATCTGTTTACGTATATTTATAAATATTTTTGTATAATT